TGGGCTCTATATTACCTGAAACTGTCTGAAAATCTGAATTTAAAATTTTTATTTTAATAATTTCTTGTTCTATATCAGAAATCTTCTTTTGTAAAGCTAATTTTTCTTGTTGTAAAATCTGATTTGATTCATTTAAAATTTCTAATCATGCATTCACAATGTTGACAAAAATTTGAAGAAAAATCTAATGGCTGATCTGAAACATTTTTTAATGAAGGGGATATAAAATAATTAATTCCTAAATGCTTTCTGCATTCTTCTAATGCTTCTGAAACTGAATAAAAACCTTTATATAAAAGGTTTGGAAAATTTTTTATACAATCTGATACTTCTATCCAAGTATGATAAACTCCTGGAAGTCTGCCCTGAAAAACAACATAACATTTAAATATCTTATGATCTTGACTAAAATGTTCTGAAAGAGCATTTAAACATGCTAAAAAGTATTCTTGATCTTTAGGATTCTTATTATAAGAAATCCATAGATTGTCTAAAATGCATTTTTCTGATTTTGTAACTGAAATATGAGATAATGTCTTAAAGCTAATATTACTGTTTGGAAAACAAAGTAATTCTACATTACCAAATCTTAACTTGTCATGAATCTGTGCTAAATTAGTCTGGGATAATGATGAACTTGAACTGCCAATTGTTGGCAATCCTGGCCTGGAACCTCTTGGTCTTTGCATCTGCAAATTCTAAAAGAAATAATCAATCATATTCTTTATTTTTAATTATTCTACTTAAAATATCTGCTATCTGATTATCACTACCTTTAATATGTTCAAAATTAATTACTAATCCAGTATTAGTAATTCTATCTATAAAATTTAACCATCTTCTTCGATTACTTCTTTTATTTTCTAATTTCATTTTATTAACAAAACTTACTATTACTTCACAATCTGTTCTTAAAGTAATTTCTTTTTTAGAAATAATAAATAATTCAAAAGAATCTAATGCATAATTAACTGCAAGTAATTCTAAGTCTATGCTACTTATATTACCTTTTTCTTTATAGTTTCCACTATTATATCTTACAATTTTTTCACTATCCTTATCTGCATATTTATTGGGTTTTGCAATTAAAATTGCTCCCCATCCTGTTATACTTCCATCTGTTTCTATAATTAAATAGTCTGTTTCTAATGGCATAGATAATTTAGGTAAGTCTTTTAATTTCTCTTTTATTTTTTGGACTAATTTAATATCTTCTATATTAAAATATCTTTGACCTTTTGGTGAAGTTTTTCCATATAAAGGTCCTGCAATTTTTCCTAAATCTTTAATAAAGGGTCTAGCATAATTAACTAATCCTAAAAATTTTTGTAACTGCTTAAGATTTTTTTAGAACCAATTTGAGAAGCTAAAATTGGTTCTTGAGTTTCCAAAATTTTTTCTAAATCCCATTCTAATCCTGCTACAAGTTCTGAATCACAGGTTTTAGGCTTAATCATTTTTATTCTGAAACAGAATATAATAATAATGATGAAGAACAACAAAAAACAGAAGAATTTCTTAATGCAGTAGAAATAGAAATAGAAGACAGAATAATTTATCCTAAAGAATTAGAAATGAAATTATCTCCTATAGAACTTTTAAAATTAGAAGATCATTTGTTTTTAATTAAACAAATAGGAGAAAAGGAATATTTATATTATGATAATTGTAAAAATATAAGAGTAGGAATTAATATAGAGGAAATTGATAATAAAACAGAAATCTCAGAGGATAGTAATTATAAAGAATTAACAGATGAAAATATGCAAATAAAAACAGAACCAGAACAATATCAATATTTAGGTGGTGATCCTCCTAGAATAGCTTATACAGATTATAATGATAAAGAAAGAAATTATATAGTTAGAGGAAAAGTTAGACCTTTAGAACCTAAAATAGAATTTTAGACACCACATAAACCACAAATATTAAATATTACAGCACATGATCCTCAAACTTGGAATAATATAATAGAAGTATGGAA